ATTTTTTTCATTTTCTCTTTTTATTGCAACGCGTCGCAATCGTACGATTACGCGCGACGTAATTTACGAGGGGCACGTTCCTGCATTCAAATGCAACAATTTTGCGTAGTATTTTTCGAGATTCATACCCTGTAACAATATAAGGTCCGATATTAAAACAATTAAATTGAGGTTTTAACGTTTAAAGTGCACATGGTATTTATTTTGTAAAATACACAATAGTGTAAAAACAGTTTTTTTTTTTTAAATTATATCTAAAAGAATGCAATTTTCAAAAATATCGATTGTATTTTTTTGTTTTGTATTATCAACATCACTAGACATTGAATTCTGACGTATTTTGATTTATCGCCTTTCGTCATCGTTGGCAATGGTCGATGCATTATGTTAAGACGCAATAAATATCTTCGCGCTATTTGCACGCGAGTTTCGCGCATGTAAAGTTAGTCGGCCAACGCTGGTCTTACGTCATTAGAAGCGGCCAGGATGTATGAATGTGCGTAGCCGTCAAGTGGCTCGTCATTGACCGGCACAGCGTTGCGCGTCAATTCTACGCATTATCTGCATTGATTCTTATCTTATTAAAGATACTTTATTATTTGATAGCAATTAATGACCTATAATCATATCTAAATAATATTATTAATTATATAATTTATTTTTGAAAATATTTTATATATACATCTTGTTTGTTTTTTTTTTTAAATAATTAATTTTATATGTATTCTTTCATCTCAATTAATTCTGTAAAGCTTTAATCTGATTACTCTCTATATAAAACGAATCGTGAATTACGCGACGTCGCAGGAATAAATCAATTCAATTACGAAATACAATCCAATCGTAGGGTGATTCGTTCAAATAAGAGAATTGCTTGATTAATGAAGCAAGCTAGATCAACGAAGTTTCCGCGATAGATCTTTTCCTTCATCACATTATTTATCCCACTATATTATTTTCTCATTTACATTTTGAGTTTGTATCTTATTAATTAGTCAAATATAAAGAGTTAAGAAATTAGCTTGAAATTCAACAAAATTCGATTTATGTATCTCGTGTGTATCGAGGAATAATATTTTTCCAACGATTATACATGTCAATATTTATTTATTCGTCTACATTTGTATATTTGCAGGGACTCTTGGATAAGTACCTGATCCCCAAGGCTAGCAATGCCGAGAGCAAAGTATTCTACCTCAAGATGAAGGGTGACTACTACAGGTATCTCGCAGAAGTCGCCACTGGTGAGACCAGAAATAGTACGTATCGATCTTTTATTATACATGAAATCTTTCTCATGAAACGAATCGAAGCGAGCTCTCGAAATACGAGATTATTTTGCAATCGATATCGACGCGAATGTCAGCAGGCTGACAGACAACGTTTAAAATTATATTACGCAACGTCTAGCATGCTCGCAAAATTGCCGAAAATTATACGAACGGCCTCTCACTTCGATCGCGTTTTCAATTGCGTTCAATTCAAATAATATTATAATATTTATATTTATATTATACAATATTTATGTATATTATAAATAAAAGAGCTCTTGAGTGTTACTATACTAATCAAATAATTTACGAATCACATTTTTTTAAAGAGTTTGTAATTTTGTATAGTTTTACTGTATGCTATTATTAAATATTATAGTATTTATATATATATATATATAAGATATTACAATATTCATTTATTCCACTTCGAGAAAATATCTAGATTGCACGCAAGAGCAATTGAGCTGCATAGAACATAAGCAGAGTAAATAAAAAAACAATTCAAGAAATCGGTCAATAATTTTTATTAAAATAAAAAGGCAGTTAAGATTTTCTAATTAATTGGAGTTTCTTGAAAGCTATAACATATAAAAATTTCTTTCATTGTATTGTATCTCGAGATGCGATAAATCCATGATGTTACGCATCTCCTAAGTTCTAAGCAGCTCTTAAACCGATTGATATACGAAGCACCACTCGAAGCGTGCTAGTTCACGCAAATAAGACAAATAGACACGCTGATAATCCACGTAATATCCAGCCGTGGTAGACGACAGCCAGAAGGCATACCAAGACGCGTTCGAAATCAGCAAGTCAAAGATGCAGCCTACCCATCCGATCAGGCTAGGTCTCGCCCTCAACTTCTCTGTCTTCTATTACGAGATCCTCAACTCACCAGACAAGGCCTGTCAGCTGGCCAAACAGGTACACGTCTAGTGGATTAATCGTTATTTTTTTCTAGCAATTCTATAGGAGAGAGAAGCTTGATGGTGATGGTGGTGATGGTGCACAGTGGTGACAGAAACTTCGTTATACGAGCGATTTGCCGATTTCCATACCTATCTACCTACCTACTTATCTATCCATCTCTGTTCTACAAAGATCGGTATTTTTTTTCTAATTCGCTAGTTCGGCAAAGTCTTGAAATATATTGAAATTATTGCACATGGACAGTGACGTTAAAATTGAAATCTACTTGCAAAAAATTTGATTAGAGATAGAATCTATGATATATGATATACATTGCTAAATTGTATGAGATTATTTTAGTAACTTTTATGTACAGCAATTGAACAATTTGCATCTGGACGCATCCGATAAAATATGCAAATCAATAATCATGAGAAATAAACACTTTTATTTAATTTTTAATATTTATATTAACTATTGATTAACGCGCACAACGACTCAAGACACATGTGGCACATCGCGGTTGGTCCCATCGTGGAAGATCAGCGACGATTTATGGACACGGTCCGTTCAAGGTCGATGATACTTCGAGAAAAACGGCACGCGGTCTTTGTAGGACAGACGCGAGGAGAATCGTTGAAACTCGCTCGCGTTTTTCTCTCCTTTTATTCAGTTTTCATTCGTTTTTTCCTTCTGCGCCCTCCCCCTCTCGCACCTTTTCCCGGCGACAACGATTTATTACTACGATGGTCACAGCGTAGAAATGAGGTCGTGGAAGGTGTAATCTGAATAGAGGCTGATTTGCATTTTGCAGCGGTAGTCGAGGATTCGCAGAAGGCGTACCAGGAGGCGTTTGACATTGCGAAGGCGAAAATGCAGCCTACGCACCCGATCAGGCTCGGCCTTGCCCTCAACTTCTCCGTTTTTTATTACGAAATTATTAATTCCCCGGCTAGAGCCTGTCACCTGGCCAAGCAGGTTAGAGGGAGGATTGTGAAAAATTTGCGTTTGGCGCTTCAACGCGAAAAGTTTTTTCTAATAAATTCGCTCTTATGTACATTAACGCGCTCGTCGTCAAACCGCGTACGCGATAAGACTGCTGATAAAGAACACGGGGGAGAATTAGGGCATTATGCATTCTGATAAAAACATTTCTGCTAAAAACCAATTTTCTTCGTGGTTTAAGTAACAAAAAGAGAATAAAACATAATAAGTTGTATTTTTCTGTTAAATCTGATATTAGAAAAATAAATATTTTTATTTATTAGAGTATATATTTATAATTTTATAAATAAATAAAATAAATATTAAAATCGGAGAGATCAGCAGCCTTATTAATTAAAGTCGATACTTTTCTCGTGTATTAATTCTTCGCGTGTGACAGTGAATTTATCCCATTTATCCTTTAATGGCCCGTTTGATTTAATTCTAGCAGTGTTGATTAATTTTTGTATGAATGGTGTGCCATTTAATCTCTCTCCTTGATTTTCTCTTAATCTGCTTTTTTAAAATTCTTTACTAATACATATTGATATAAACTGATGTCTCCACTGGTGCCACACTAACTATCCTATACACATCACTCTCTCTCTATTTGTGTGTTTTAACATTTGCTACATAACAATTTTTCTTAGATAAATATAAAATACTTGTACATTTGACAAAATTTTTATAATTGTAATATTAATAGACTATTTAAGAGTTTATCTTAAATTATTATTAATTATCAATAATATATATAATTAAGATAGTTATTATTATATCTTCGTTTGAATATATTTCTAAATGATATCATTTTTGATTAATTTATTAGATTTAAAAATGGAATAATTAATATTAAAAAGTAAAGTTGAGAATAATATAAAGAAAATTGATAAGCAAAGAAACTGAAATAATAAAAATATCTGACACGTGTTTATTTTGGCAGGCGTTCGACGACGCGATCGCGGAGCTGGACACACTTAACGAGGACAGCTATAAGGATTCAACGCTGATCATGCAGTTGCTGCGTGACAACCTCACTCTGTGGACCAGTGATACGCAGGGCGACGGGGACGAGCCACAGGAGGGCGGCGACAACTAACCTTCCTAAGCTTAAGTCCTTTCTAAACCTAATAAGAACATCCTATTCTCTATCGTCCCCCCGTCCCCCTGAAGTGCTCACCCATATGTCCATCCACCCGGATCCATCCACCCATGTCCACCATGTCCTCTCGTCCCTCGCGCGTACCTCGTTTCCTTCTTTTCCTTCCTTCCTTCTAACCGCAGGCCTCCCTCTTCCTTAAATCTCTTTTCGAAAAACAAATTGGTCCTTTTCCACTCCTCTCTCTTTCTTTCTCTTTCTCTCTCTTTCTCTCTCTCTCTCTTTGTCCTACGACCGCACACTGCTGCCGATGCCACCGCCACAGCTGTTACGCCCGGTTCGAAAAACTCGAATGTAGAGAACACTCGAATCATCTATTTAAGCTCGATTGTATTCTTTTCGCGGATGATGCTAAGGAAAAGATACTTCTAAAGATTGAACCTAGACGCGGAATTGGAACTTTGTCGATATTCGGAGTGGATAAAAATTGTCGATTGTGAAATATGTATCGAGTAAAAACGCGCGCGCGAAGAGAGGCAATCATCGGCGAGGAGGAACGGTTGAGCTTTGTGGATCATTTAGTTTTTCTCTGGTACGAAGTTTCTCAGACAAAACGAAATCCTTGTTTGACCCATTTGTATGAGGAACAGGAATTGTGGATGAACAGAGGAAAGAACAGGAGGGAGACACATTCATACACATCTTCCCCTTCCCTGCATACCCTGTCTCGTCGATGCGCGCATCCCTCGGGTGATCATCGGTAACGCACATTACAAAAGAAAAGTATGCGCTAGATTATTCAGCTTCATGAGTAGCGACAAAGTGATATAGTACTAAAAGATGAATCACGACGTTAGAACGAGACATGGAATGCAGAGGACGACAACATACTATCATTATTCCCAGAATCTGTTCGCTACTTACCATTAAAAAAAAAAGAAGAGTGTAATGTTAGAAAGAACACGAAAACAAAAAATACAGGCAAAAAGAAATAACGCGGAGGTACGAGAAGAAGCGAAGAGAACGAGAAAATGAAAAGCACGCATGAATCTACTACATTATACCCAGTTGTCATTTAAATTAAATTTCATTGTCTAGCAAGTACGAATATTATTATACGAAGGGAAGAACGCAGGAGGAGAAAGGAGAGTAAAAAAAACAAATACATTAAGTTATTAAGTTCCAAAACGACATCAGTGGTGATTTGATTTTCACGCTCTCGCTGTTTTTATCTTTTTTATTCTTTTTCTCTTCTCCTCTCCGCAACATGATCATCACAATTTTCCACATTTGCATGCAATTTTTGGTATATATCTATTCTCTCGCATAGATTCCTTTCTTTTCCTTTCGTCACAATTGATGAAAAAAAACTTGGCGGTTACCTCCACGAATTTACTGAAGCCCGACAGTCTTATTTCCTTATCACGTTACAATTTTATCCGTAATTTAGACGCAGAGATGAACCAATCAGGATCGTCAATAGCGTACAAATAATTATTCTCATTATTACAATCGCGTAAAAAGAGAAGGAGAGAGCACGTTTCGTCGTCGTTATGCTCGCCGTCGCGATCATTCACACACGCTTCCAAAAATTTCGTGTGATCGTGGAATGAGATGCGGAAGGAGGATGAGCCGTTCAGTTTGCTATTGTCATCATCGAGCATGGAGATTATACACATTAGATCGTATATATCCTGATTCTGGCGTCTGAATCTTTCGACTTCCTCTTGCACTTTCTATTCCACACATTGCCTTTCGTCTCTTTCTCTCTCTATTATATTACACACGAGAGAGATTATATAATATATACACCACAGGATATATTTATCACTTAAGTAAACTCGTATCGTGATTGAGAAGAATGGAGAGAGAACAAATTATACGCACACATACACACGAATATAAATAATTGCATATTTACTTTCGTTCTGTGCGATGTTCATTTCCAAGGGTTCGCGAGAGAATACCATCGCGTAGAGTATCGAGATCCGGAAAAGCTCGCGGCACCTAGGTCCTCCGTCAAGGTGTACACATCGAAAGAAGTTGCTTATACATGTCTATTTGCATATGCAAATTATTGACTGGCTATGATAGATCGGGCGCGAAACAATGTATAGAATAAAATGATCGTACGTATTGAAATGAATTGCCTTTACATGTTAGTGATACATATATGGAGTGAGATGCAAGGCTTCATTCGACGTGTACCACGTATATCACGCAAATCATATCTGAAGCGTGATGTATTCCTATCGTTACTAAACTGATCTAAAAGATATATTCTTCACGTTATAAGAGAAGACTGCAAGAGACTCTAACAGGAGGTCAAAGACTATTCAAACACGCTCTCCATGTCGCGTTCGTCATCCGACGCGAAGAAAGAGAGAAAAAAAAGAAAATAGGAAACGAGGAGCTAAATATTCTCTTTCTTCTCGTATATATATGTATAATTAAGTATATGTATATACGTTGCTGACATCATATATATATACACACAAACGTACACGTACATCACGCTTATGTAATATCGCTATGAGAGACAGTTTCAACAAGTTAGTCGCTAATTACACGTGAATGGGTAAATGTTTTCCTATTGTCGTGTTGATATTTCTCGATGTATAATCGGTGTCTCTGTCGCAACAAGACTGTCTAAAAATCGCCGAGAACGTCATTTAATGTGTTGCGAAGAAAGAAATAGAAACACAGAAAGGAAATGGAGAATGGGACAGATCACGAATAGTGACAACATCCAAACGACGGACTTCTCCTATCCTCGCCTCTTTTTCTCAAACGAGAGCGAGTATGTAACATGTGTAATTGAAGTATTGTAATTTATCGTTGCCGCTTTCAATCGCAGTGAAAGTCGAGTTTGTTCTATTCTGACACACATTTTGCGACTTGCGTTCTTCATAGACGAGAGTCTTTTAGGATTGAGGCAAGGGATGAAGTAAAGATTAAGATACAGGCGACAAAAAAATTAAATATGCGGAACGGAATGATCCCGTTTGTTAAATTCCATTACGATCGATTTGAAGTTAAATCTACGCGATTTTGACATCACTTATATTTATTTTTTTTGTACATTGTCTGTATCTCGTGCTTTATCCTATCTCGATACTTGGCGTTGTAAAAGAGAAAAATCGAACGATAAAAGTACAGACGAGCAGTACAATTCCCCTTCCCTTGATCTTACCTCTATCTTTTTCCAGAATGTTTTGAGATGAAAGTTCAACGAGGGCTAATTTAGGCAGGACCGGGCGTGTGTGTTGTATGTGTGATTAAAAGTGGCAGGATGCGAAAACTGTCACGATGCATCAAAGGATAACGTTGATCGATCTCGCGGACCTTCCTTGAATATAACATCCTTCTCTTTTCATTCCTCCTTTCATTCTTTTCTCTTGGATCTATTTCTTTGTTTTTCCCAATCTAACATCAATCTATACCCCAATCGCTCACCTCCAATTCAACAAACCAAACGTTAACATTTTGTGTTCTTTTCATTTTCTGGATATTATAAATTTTCTAAAATAAACGTTATGTTTTTTTAATAATTCTAGCAGTGACTTTATACTCGGTCAGAAGGGACATCATCATCATCATCTACATTATCATTATCATATATTCATCATTATCATCATCGTCTTCATCGTCGCCGACATTATCGTTATGAGCGTCTTAACGCATAAATTCTTCGATCCTCTTCCCGCAATCTTTACCCAAGTAAGATACTCTCCTCCTCCTTCTTTTTTTTTTTTTTTTTTTTTTTTCAATTTGATCATCTAATCACGCATTTTAAGAGTAATTTGTTGTGCGAACGCGTATGTGACAATCGCGAGGGAAGCAACGGCGACGTGTCTCTTTAATCCAGTACGAAGTGTTTGGTCACGCGAATTCATGCGACTTTCGCCCGTAATCCTGATCCTTTGCACGTAAAACCGCATCCATCTATTCATCCATTTATCCACGCGACTGTTTTCCTCCAGTCATCCATTCTTCTCTCCCGTTTTCCTTCTACTCTACCATTTCTCTCTTCCCTCCCTCGGTCCCAAATTACGTTGTTCTATTTGTATTTATCATCAGCCCATCGTAATTGTAAATTATAATTATTATAAACGTTTACACGAAATAATAATAAATTCTGATAAAATGTCTGAGAAAAAAAACCATAACCCACACGGTTGTATTTTGCTTTGCGACGATAATGCCATTGTTTCTCGGAGGAGGTGTTTGCGCACGGTGACGATGTGTTTTTACGATTCACAGCAGACAGAAGTCCTAGGACAGAAGACGAGATTACATATTTGCATAATGCGCGGACTTTATCGCGAATCGTAGCGGGGATTTCTGCAATGTGTCTTATCAACAAGATATCTCATTGGATTGGAATGACTACTACCTCTTCGAGTTCGTGATCTACGATTCGCGACACTTTGAGACGAGTCAGCGTTTTACGCTTTTTATGAAGATAACGGAATTCGCGGAAAATCAAATGATCTTCCGAGTATACTTGGAACACGTAACATTCTGATAAAATTATTTATAAGATAACTACTCTCTCCTTAACTTTTATATATGCATATACACTGAACGTCATATATGTATAGATGTCTTAACACTTTAGAATTTTATAGGAATATTTTCAAAAAGAATGCATTATGTTTAAATGTCCAGATAATTTTGGTTTAATTTTATATTATAGAAATTTAAATATTTGTTTCGATTTCTTTTACAAAATATCATTCTGTCATTCTCTCTCTCTTTTCTTTTTCTTCTCTTTTCTCTCTCTCTCTCTTTCTCTCTCTTCTCTCTCCGTTTTATTTGATATCGATTATATGATATCAAATAAAGTCTTCAATCTTTTATAACTATTAACAATTAGCTTGATCTTTCACGACAGCTCAGGCGATGACAAAAGTTGCAGTCGCATCGACATAAAGAATAGAAAGAAAGAGAAAGAGAGGAAATAAAGTCCGACGAGAAAATATTCGCGTAAGGACATTGTATTGTTTGGCATAATCGAAGTTTAGCAATATCGGGAGAAATGAAAGTGCAAGCAGAGGATCCACAGAGACTCTTTCATGTATTTAAAATGCAAAAGCATATTTATTTCGATCGCTATTAAGGATATCATTGTACTAGATGTATATCCCTCGCTCTTCAATCTCCTTCGTCCCTTCCCCCTCCTATCCTTACCCCCTCACTCTTCTACCGCCCATTTTTCTTGTCGATGGTATATCTACACATATATTTGTATACACGACTTATGCATTATGTATACATACATACATATATATATGCATACACTACGAGAGACACACGGTAAATACGCGACGCGAGGTATATATATGTATATGTACGCGTGCCTTTTCCGACAAGAAAGGCCTACCTATACGATTAATCATGCTAAATTTTTTGCACAATTTATACGTGTAGCCGATACGAAATACGGTTTTTGCTAACGAGAGTAGCCGAACTACTACTTAATGCGAGCGACGAGACGCGAGAAGTGTCACGCGTAAGCGGAAGCGCGAGGAAGATAAAGAAATTTATGAAAAAAAATTCTCCAAATCGAACGAACAAACAAGCATTGTTCCCACCGATACTTGCGCGAATCGCAACCGCTCGTGCAGCCTCTTGTTGAGACCTAGATAGAGACGTATAGATCCAGCGAGTCTCAACCCGACAGCTCAGGTAGTCGCTCAGTGAAATCGATCGAGGTCCGAAGAAGCGAATAAAATTCGATAGAGAGCTTTTCGTTTGAGAGAGCGAAACTTGCCACGTTCAGGAACGAGGTTGAGAATCTTCGCGTTAGGTGTAGAATATACCATTTTCGTACGGTAGACGAGTTCCCGCGTAGAGACGACATTCCTAAGGATACTGGCGACAAAATTCGAAGGGATCGCTATTTAAGAGACTTGGAATTATACGAATTTAATTTTAGAAACTTGCCTGTTCTCCGTGATGTAAATTGTCTCTATTCTTACTGGAAGTACTTCCGATTAAGGATTTTTTTATTCGACTTATATATAAAACTAGAATGTCTAGAGATAAAGAGTGAAAGAGCAAATTAGTATATATAAGTATGATTGCGATATAATTAATTTAATTTTCATTTAATAGTTTATATGTATCATTAGTAAGCCACTTTTATTCGATATCTCTTTTTAATAATATTTATATATTAATAATATTTAAAATTATATTTTAATAATATTTAAAATTATTTCCAAATCGGTGCATTTTTTTTACGTGCTGCATATGAAATGACATATTGCATCAATCCGATTTTAGTTTTCGTCGAGCAAAAATGTTGATCCTTCTGTAACAATAATTAAACATTTTGATTGTGCTTGATTGCTCCGATTAAATGATCTGTCAATTGAGTGTAATCTTTTTCTCTCTCGATATTAAATCGTTATACGTGGCCTTCGATTTTGTCGCCGCGTAAACCTCTCGCTAGAACGAAGATTTTCCTCGGTTTTGCTCTTCTACAATTGTAGCCTATTTTTAGCTGTCGATCCGATCTTCGCTCTTCACCCGCTTCCCTACCCCTTCCTCAATCGATATAGATAAATGCCGTTTCAATCGAATATATTACACGTTAAATGGATTAACAAACAAAAAAAGATGACGCTGATTTGGCGGGGTGGTATTTGTAAATAAAGCTGTAAAAGCGATGAAACGGTGCAATCATTTCACCTGCATCAATCGCTGCATCGGTGTAGAAATAGAAGAAATAGAGTTTTTTAAAAATGGAATCGTCCCGCACATGCGCATGCTTTTATTTAACATATAAATTTGATCGAGAATTTATTCGACAGATATTAAATATTTTTCTGAGTATTAAATTAAAAATATTTAATAATTTAAAGAGGAAAAATATTTAAAAACATTTTACATTTTTAACATTTGCAAGAGAGATACTTTTATTTATCCGATGATTATCATTAATCTCGAAAGAATATTGGAACTGTTTTTAACAAATTACTTTCCTGGATATTAAATGACTTTACATTCTTTATTCATCGCGTTATATTGCACCATCACGGTTCACTTTGCGTCATAAAAAATAAAAACACATTGATTATTGCGCAAGAAAGTGTAATCTATTAAATTGAATTTTTTAATCTCTTGAAAAATTAAGAGAGAGAAACAACAAACATTTCTCCTAATTGTTTAACGAATTGTAAATAAAGTATACATTTGCAACGTTCATAAATCTTTATGAATAACAAGGCAAAAATCCTTGCCCGTTAGACTTTGCTCAGAATCAGACTATTTGTCAGATAGTTAAATGTTTTTCATCGATGAGCATATATTGCATTGTTCCTCTCACAGTCGGCCAGATATACAAAACTTAATCCTTCTTTTTTCTTTTCTTTAAATTGATTTATCACAGTTCCTGAGGGATAAATTTTCTTTCATTTATCTTTTGAACATTCTTGTTGAAAGTTTTCTAGCTAAGGGAAAGTGATTCTTCGATTGGAAAACTTTTTGAATAATCCACTAGTTAAAAGGTATACGTGTCTCGAGGCACATAAATCGCGTCTTGCGTTCCTTTTCACACGAAAGCATATCTTCGAAGAAGAACGTCGTCGACGATCAGTTGAAACATAGTCATCGCATTAAAAAGTGCTACGTACATCTTAAAGAACTTTCCTGTGCTTCTCGAGAGGCTTATAATCGAGCAATAGTAAAATTATTAAATCGAAGGAATTATTATTTTTAATAATGATATAAACGAGAGAAAATAGTCATCTTTAAAAATAGTGAATAAACACCTCCGAATCATATATTCAAGTGGACACATCTTTGGATACGAATTTTTTTCATCAGGTAAGTTTATTTTTTTCTCAAATGAATAAAAGAGTGAAAGTAAAATACAGAATAAAACAAATCGATCAATTTTATTGTAAAAAAAAAAATGAATTTTTATATTCGTTATTTTCTGTCTTAATTGTTTTTCATTATATCTAGCAGTTAAAACTTTGCTGTCAATATTGGTCGAGTGCACATTCTATTTTATTACGATATCAATTTATCGATTGCATGTATTTCAAACGCAATACAAAATTCTCAATCTTTATCACTCTCACAATCAATCTAAATTGGTTCGAATACGGCTTGATTGATTTTTACATATTGAAGCTATCATCGTAAAAATATTACGGACTCTTCGATGGAACAACAAGAATCTTCATCGTTCCTGTGGCAATTTCATGATTTTCGATGCTTACACAGGCAGATACTTACACAGGTAAGTCTGATATAAAATTTAGAAAAATGTCTCTCAATTTTATGAGCAAATAGAATTTTATTTCCATTTCTGAAAATTTAACTCTAATAAGAATCTTTTCCGGATGCTCTGCTAAAAGGAGGCATATCCGTTTGAACCTTCAAAAAATGATTTTATAAATTATTTTATAGATTTTTTTGCAGCGCAACGATTTGATAAAAAAATTTTTTTTACGGTATTAATACAATATTATCAAGTATTTAAATTTTTAGCTTAAAAAAAATTTTTTTTTAAAGTTATGCGAATATTTGCAGAGCTCCACCAATTTTAGATGGCTGCACGGTGTGCATGAAAACGTTCGTTTATCATATCTGAAATCAAAAATACAAGTTTTTTTTATTATTACATATTAGGTCACCTTCAGTCGGCCGAACGTCGTGGTAGAGGTGGTCGACGTCGGTTAGAGGATCAGAGGAACGTCGGCGTTGGTCGACAGTGGAAGAACATCGTCGTCGTCGCGATTGTCAGTCACGTTTTTTTCTGGTGAGTGTCTGTCGAGCCGCCCGTCGTCGATCGTCCTCATCGATCAATCGTCGTTTTCGAGCGCGCGACGCCCATTGTCGCCTGTCACCTGCACGCTACTGTCAATTGATCCGCGTTGAAGCGCGTCCCTTCGACAGCGTCGCTTCGAAATTGATTCACGTCATATTCGGTTGAGATTTTCGTCTATTTAGGTGCGGATGACATTTACTTAACGATCTTCTTTAGATGGGTTGAAAAGGTGCGTTTAGGTTAACCTAAGAACCTAGATTCTCCGCTGCGTTTCACGGAGCGATTACAGTCGTTCGATTGGGAGACTTTGGCGATTCACGTGACGTTCTGTAAATAGCACGGATTTTTAATTCGACGAATAATAATAGTCGCATAAGTGACATAGGTCAAAATTATTATAATTCGCGGCTTTCTTTTAACGATCGATTTCTTTATCTCGTTCAAGGTTTATGTGTCATATTTAACAAGAGAGTTATATAAAAAGAAACCAATTATCATCAATTATTGTATTTTTCATCTATGAAGTATTTATGTGTATATATGTATAATTGTGACACACACAATTGCATCTTTTCGCGCGAGAAGATGCAACTGCAATCGCATCTTTCGCGCGCGCGCGCGCTGCATGCTTTATCACGCTTGTTTTTTTGCAGGTAAAAATTTATGAACGAGAGATCAGAGAAACATACGTCGAGATTTCCTCTCTCATGCTCGATCACGCGACGCGATTTTTTTCGCGGAGAGGTCGCGGAAAGTTACGTGGTTCGTTGCACGTCGTCAAGCGTAAATTAGAACATCTTGTCACGAGACGACTCAAAGTGCGAGAAAATAGATTTTTACGATTCGACAGCGAAACTAGCAGTAACTTCGCAGTTGTACAAAGCCAGGCTCCGAGTTGTTGACACTTCTTCGCATTTTTTGAAACGCGGCCAGATTTCGTTCGCACACATGTCATTTAATTTTAAGACGCGAAGGCTCGCGTGTTGCAACGGCTAGGACTACCGAGACTATGTAACATGCTTCAATAATTTTTCCGCGCCATATATTATCTTGTCCGCCTTTGTTTTTCAATGGAATTCTGAAATCAAAAATACAAGTTTCTTTTTATTAAACATTTTAGTAGCTGTCTGTTATCCAAGCGTCTCTCCAAAATTTTAAAAAATAAAAAAATGGCGGCATGTTGAAAAGAAGTTCCGTTTTTTTTAAAAAGATCCATCTTTTCTTGTTATAACAAAAAATGAGAATTAAAAAAAGGCTTCGTTAACAGATGCAAAATCTTTTATTTCATGTATACCGTGCATGAAAATATAAATCTGCAAATATTCACGTAACTTCAAAAAAAATTTTTTTTTAAGCTGAACATTTTTATTCGAGTACTTAATAATATTGTATTAAAATAATATTGTAAAAAATATAAATATAAATAATATTATAAAAAAAATAAAAAGTTTTTGTAATATTTTTTATATTGCATCATCATTTCATTATTGCAAGAGATTGGGAAATATACAGAGTGTAATAAATTTTTAAACAAATTATTGAATAATAATTTATTTAAAAAGATAATTGATAAAGAGATATTTTGCAGTGTACTTCATTGTTTTCTTTATAATGAAATGAATTTGGGACAGAAGCCGTGACGTGATATGTATATAGTCTATTTTTATTGAAATAAGGTTAAAATTTGGATTGATTGATGTAAAAATTATTCTAATAGCTGGCGAATTTGTCTGGTGGAGAAAAATGTCTAAGAATTACAGAGCTATTCAGTGTCATTGCGCGGATGAAAATTATTCGGAAAGCGCGGGAAGTGATAGCGATGATGCTTCGGATACACATGAAAGCACTGCAGAAATACAGAAAGTAGATGCACAGGAAAGTTTGATCGACTCTATCAAAAGTACATCTTCATTAAGATACACTACATCCAGAGATCCTTCAGAAAAATCTTCTGCTGTTGAAGTGTTGAAGAAAGTCGACGCTGATAGAAAAAGCAGGATTAGTGTGCAAAACTTAAAACTTTCCTTGATATTTCCTAAGGCAAGCTTATGCTTGTTAATGTAATGTTATATATAATTTTTTTTCTTTTTTCCTTTTTTATTAAATATTTATGTAAAATAAATTTAGTGAAAAATTTAATTTTGAATAGATGTTCTGGAAGAGCACTTTTGAATCATTTGAACTTTTACCAACTGGTTCTTCGTTTGAGATAAAATTTGACACGATCGAGGAAGAATTTGCCAGAAGCCTGCGATTTCGACAATTGAAACAAAAAGTTGCGCGAGACTCTTTATTTCTCTTTATAATTTATTAATCTTCTTATACTTGCGTCTTTGTTCAATATAAAAGAAAAGAAACACTAATCAAACTGAGAAATTGTGTTATATTATCGTGTCTCTGAGAGAAAACGAGGATCTAATTTCTAAAAATATTGATATTAACTTCGTGCAATTTTTTTTCTTATTACAGAATTATAAGGAATACTGCGATACGATCATGGCTGAAGAGGCGCCATCTCAAAAGTTCATAAAACCTGGGAGTCATAAGGGTAAAAGCATTGCCGTGTTCACCAGCGGTGGCGACTCTCAAGGTATTTTTGAATAATCGAATAAATTGTATTTTGAAATATATAAATATAACTATTCCAATTATATAAATTTTATTGTTTATAGGAATGAATGCTGCTGTACGAGCAGCTGTAAGGATGGGTATTTATCTCGGATGTAGGGTGTACTTTATCAGAGAAGGCTATGAAGGTATGGTGAACGGCGGAAAAGACATCGAAGAAGCCACATGGTCGGCCGTGTCTTGCATCATCCACAAGGTAAATATTATAGAATGTTGCATCATATCACTCGTCCATGCGCGTTATTACATATTGCATCTTTCCTTCAGGGCGGCACAGTGATAGGCTCTGCCCGAAGTCAAGAATTCAGAGAACGTCCCGGTCGTCGAAAAGCCGCCAAGAACTTGGTTAATCTGGGTATAACCAATCTAGTGGTGATCGGCGGAGACGGTTCTCTCACAGGTGCTAATCTCTTCAAAGAAGAGTGGCCCGAGCTTCTAAAGGAACTCGTCGCGTCTGGTAAATAGATGAAGAATTGTTTATAATACATTACGCACGTATTTGATGCTAACATTGCTTTTCATTTATAGGAGATATAACTGTCGAACAGAGTGAGAAGAACAAACAACTACACATTGTTGGACTAGTAGGTTCCATCGATAACGATTTCTGCGGTACGGATATGACGATTGGTACTGATTCAGCGTTGCATCGTATCATTGAAAGTATAGACGCTATAGCTAGCACAGCTTACTCTCATCAGAGAACGTTTATAATGGAAGTTATGGGTCGTCATTGTGGGTAAGTGTATCTCGATTTTGTTATTGGGAGAATAATTTTATTAACGTTAAATAATTTTATATATTATTGAGCAGATATTAGTTTTCGAAAATGCAAAAAAAGGATTTGCGATATATTTTATATTTCAACGACAGGTTACAGTACACAAAATTAATACTTACATATCGTTATCGCGCCGAAACCGATGTAATAAGATATAAATAAATGGGCTACTTTCGACTAGGTATCTGGCTATCGTGGCTGCTTTATCTTCGGAGGCTGACTATGTTTTCTTCCCAGAATGTCCGCCTCCCGTCGATTGGCCTGAAAAATTATGTAGAAAATTAGAGCAGGCACGTCTAATAGACTTTTCGAAATTTTATAGAATTTTTAGATTGTATTGCTAATTATTACTAACTCGATCAAACATAAAGAGTGATTTTTGTATATATATGTCAGTTTTTGGACTGCTAAGTGTTCTGAGTTAATCTCGATCGTATACAACGTTCTAAATGTATATCCCTCTTCTGAATAATGACGTGAAGAGGAATGCGAACGAGAGATTTACTCACACTTTATTGTCGCGCATTAATTAATATAGAGCTAAATGTATATTACATAGAGAGTTATACATTTTCGATTGGTACTGAAGATAATTAGATGTCACAGAGTCTTTCAGGTACCTGTCAATAGCGTCAAGTATGTCTACAGAAGCCACCTATTCCTTTATTCCCGAATGTCCGACAAGTGGTGACTGGATCGAGGAGCTTTGTCAAGCTGTGCGACAGGCACGTTTCTCAACCAGTCGTTACTTCAATATATATCATTCAAATATATATTCAAAATTATACACATATGTAAAAGAGTTCGCCATATTCGTTTTTGCAGTTGAAATGCGATATTATTTCTTTGAGATATTTGATTATAGCCAGATTACATTTTTGTACATATAAAATTTTCTTCTTAACATTTTTATCATTAAAAAACACTTAGATTGTTCAAAAATTTATCGCAAGTATATTGATTACTATATTTATTCTTCAGGCGTGAGCACAGCTTTAAAAATTTATATAAATACATGATCATGATTGACGAGTATAGCATTATTTTATAAAAATATTTTTAAATATTGTATTGAGATAGAATTTTAGTTAGGTTTACAATATACCATTACAGTTATCTGGCTCTGGTGACAGCTATATGTTGCGAAGCTGATTATGTTTTCATCCCAGAATGGCCACCCGAGCAGGGGTGGCCCAACAAGCTATGCAAAAAATTATTGCAGGTTCGATAATTTATTTTTTTTTTAAATTTTTTAAGACAAGTATATTTATTTATATTTCCTGACTCTCAATCAACCTGCAAAATTAACAGCATACTTGCTTCTTGCAATTTATGCTCTAATTTTTTAAACAGTTGCAAGCTCTATTACAACTATATTTTAATAGCTTTCTTTTGATTTAATTACTTTTGGTTATAAATTATTTTTAATATGCTTTCTTTAAGATATTTTGCACTTAATATGAGAAACAATTATTTTGTAAAGTCAATTAAATGCATGCTATATTAAACTTATAACATCTTTTTAATGTTATGTGTGTATATGTAACACTATATATTAAGAAATATATTTACTTAAAAAGAGAAGTATGTGAAATGATATACAAATCAAATAATTAAGGCAAGAATTTTCAGAGTTTATATGATATTTTTTTTGTATTATTATTAATATATCATCATCAATATTGCATCTGCATATTATGCTATAGTCTTTAATTAGCTTTTCAATCTTCTTTTTTTTTATAGCTTATGCTTTTATACATATCGAAACAAAATCTTAATTTTGGTTTGCGAGAAAAATTTAAATTTTTTAAGACAAGTATATTTATTTATATTTCCTGACTCTCAATCAACCTGCAAAATTAACAGCATACTTGCTTCTTGCAATTTATGCTCTAATTTTTTAAACAGTTGCAAGCTCTATTACAACTATATTTTAATAGCTTTCTTTTGATTTAATTACTTTTGGTTATAAATTATTTTTAATATGCTTTCTTTAAGATATTTTGCACTTAATATGAGAAACAATTATTTTGTAAAGTCAATTAAATGCATGCTATATTAAACTTATAACATCTTTTTAATGTTATGTGTGTATATGTAACACTATATATTAAGAAATATATTTACTTAAAAAGAGAAGTATGTGAAATGATATACAAATCAAATAATTAAGGCAAGAATTTTCAGAGTTTATATGATATTTTTTTTGTATTATTATTAATATATCATCATCAATATTGCATCTGCATATTATGCTATAGTCTTTAATTAGCTTTTCAATCTTCTTTTTTTTTATAGCTTATGCTTTTATACATATCGAAACAAAATCTTAATTTTGGTTTGCGAGAAAAATTTTCATATATAATTTTCTTTTCAGGAAAGACTCACTGGTCAACGACTTAATATTATTATTGTGGCTGAAGGTGCTGTCGATAGAAACGGCGATCCGATTACAGCTGAAAAGGTTCATAAAGTAGTCGTAGAAAAATTACAGCAGGATACAAGAGTCACTGTTCTGGGCCATGTACAAAGAGGCGGCAATCCTTCAGCCTTTGATAGAGTTTTGGTAAGATTCTATAATATAGAATTTTTAATATCACCTGAAATATTAGAGTAAGTGTTATGATACTCATTTTTAAATAAAATATATATTCTTTCTAAAATAAATCTGTGCATTACAGGGATGCCGGATGGGAGCTGAAGCTGTGATGGCTTTAATGGAGGCGACACCTGAGACAGAAGCGTGTGTCGTCACGTTGGACGGTAACCAAGCCGTGAGATTACCGCTTATGGAATGCGTTCGTCGTACGAAAGCTGTGGCGCAGGCTATGGCCAATAAAGATTGGGATCTTGCTGTGAAACTTCGAGGAAAGTGAGTATCTCAAAAAAACATGTGTGTGAAAAATATGAAATATATCGATAAATGTGTGTAAATCTATTTACGTTTTTTCTGTATAGGGGGTTTGAACGTAACTTGGAAACTTACAAGATGCTGACTCGTTTGAAAGCTCCAGATTTAGATCATAATGCAATCAAGGTATTATCATCTACGTCTAATTTTATATTCTAATGACCCAAAAACTATGTATTATGCAGAGAATATTAACGTAGTATTTTAATATCTTAAACATTAAAGAGAGGTAGAGATATATATTGTGTCCAAGAGAAAATGCTGGGTCTTTAACATATAAAATAATAATGAATAATAATAATAAATAGCTTATTATATGTATTTGATACTGCTTCAGGAAATTAATGGCCGCGCATTAACGAAGGTAAATCAGTTTAGAACCTATAAAAGTCGCAAATATATGTATAATGCCAATGTGAAAGCAATCTCCCTAACGTACCTTTTTCCATTCCTTAGCAATACACTTTATGTGGACAAGTGAGTTAACGCACAACCCTCCTTTGTAATAGAGAATGTATGCCTAGTATTAGAGATGTATCATTTACCTTCATCTTACGATCGCTCCCAAAGACAGACGCAGCGATAGCATTATACGCTATTTAACGTGCAACGTCATCTATATTAAAAGCAGTCATTTAGTTTTCCGTGCATGACGTATCGTGTATCGATTTTCATCTCGTTGGTAATCTGCGGTTTTGTTACAGGATCATTATACAGTAGGAGTCATGCACATAGGATCACCGTCCTGCGGTATGAACGCAGCGGTTCGCTCTTTCGTGAGGAATTGTATCTATCGAGGTGATAAGGTGCAATATCGATGAATTCACAATTCTATCTACTTTTATTGCGCTCTTAATTCTATCTATATATCTCGATGTATTGTAGGTATACGGTATATGTGACGGAGTGTTGGGTCTTATGGCTGGTAGATTAAAATTGATGGATTGGCCATCTGTCACCGGTTGGGTCGCGGAGGGCGGCGCAAAATTGGGAACGAAGCGCACACCGCCCCAGGAAGATCAATTACCCATAATTGCTCAAAAATTGAAAGAGTTTGGAATACAGGCGCTGCTCATCATAGGTGGATTCGAGGTAACGCGAATCGCTCCGAACATTGTAGCGTTCAGCTGGATATTGGATTCTAAGGTCAACGTTGATAAAGTATATTTTTTTATTTCCAGGGTTATCAAACCGGTCTAACATTTTTCAAAGCGAGAGATAAATACGAAGAGTTCAGGATTCCTATCGCTATGATTCCTGCGACTATTAGTAACAATGTGCCAGGCACTGAATTTTCGTTGGGTTGTGATACAGCTTTGAATGAAATTACAGAAGTAAGTTATGCGATATGTTTATAAATCCGACACTTAAAGACTTAACGCTCAATTATATAACATTATTAATATTGTCTTATCTTCAGATCTGCGATCGTATTCGGCAATCGGCGCAAGGTACTAAACGCCGTGTATTCATCATCGAGACGATGGGCGGTTTTTGCGGATATTTAGCGACCGTTGCCGGTTTAGCCGGCGGTGCCGACGCGGCTTATATCTATGAAGAGAAGTTTAATATTAAAGATTTGAATCAAGATGTTATCGCGATGGCGGCAAAGATGTCTGAAGGTGTCGAGAGAGGCCTTATTATCAGGAACGAGAACGCCAACGAGAATTACAATACGGAGTTTATTTACAGACTTTTCAGCGAGGAAGGAAAAGGTTTATTCAGTTGTAGAAGCAACATACTCGGTATGTGCCTTCTTTTATCTCTTTTAATCGATTTTCTAATATTGAGATGCATTTATAATACAAAATTGAATATTTTATTATTATTAAATATCTTTCTTTATTTTTTCCAGGTCACATGCAACAAGGTGGCTCGCCAACTCCCTTTGACCGTAACATGGGAACAAAAATGGGCGCTAAGGCAGTTGAATGGTTCAGCGATCAGTTGAGAAAATGCACTAGCCCCGATGGCAAAACGGTCACTACAGCAGCTGACAGTGCGGTGATGCTTGGTATTATCAGACGTCAATATAGATATACACCGTTCACGGAACTTATCGAAGTTACGGATTTTGAGTACGTATTCGAGCTATTATACTATTTCGAGCTTTTTAACGAGTCGCTTTAATTTCTTACGTAATATAATAGTAAAAATTTCCTAGACATCGTATTCCGACGTATCAATGGTGGATGAAGTTGCGTCCACTGCTGAAAGTATTGGCGAAACACGAATCGACGTACGAAGAGGAGGGTCTTTACATAACCGTTGAAGAGATGAACCAACAGAAGGATCCGCCTCTCGTATGAATCGCGAAATTGATTACTTAAAGCGCCGCGTCAGGTAATACAGCGGCCATTGGAAATGGATATTACTGATCGTGTGAAAAGTAGTAGATGTTTATGATTAAGAGAGTAATCACAGTATTGTATGATATTATGATAATTTTATCGCTGCTCGACAAGAGAAACGAGAATCTTATATATATTTATTGGATCATGTATATCTGAAAAATTTGATTGTGTACATTATTATGGTTTTTTCATAGTAATGTTTATATGCTACATACGTCCACGTAGCTATTTATTTAAGATTTGGACGCACATTTTTTGAATATAAATAATTTGGATATGGCCATAATAGATGTGATCGAGAATATAGGAATGTACTTTTTCATTTTGTTCGGAAATCATGTTTGTGTCTTGAATGCTTTCCAACTCAGGTGAGAAATAGGTACAAAGGCAGTATCTGTGCAAAGTGCAAAGGTAAGGTATATTAAACATTTGAAAACAAAATATAAGAGCGGTATCTGTTGGCAACGATATGGTATTGTTACAGTATCTTATAGTGATGTTAAAAAAATCGCGTTGCGTATACATTGATGTATAGTGTGAAAGATAAATTAGAATCTATATATATATATAAAATTTTGTAGCGTAGCAAGATATACAATGTTCAAGCGCTAAATAACGGACTAAAATATTATTTTTATGAAAAATATGCAGGAACATATGGCTATAAATTGGAAACTAACGACGTGCAAAATTTACATTTGATATGCTACTCGAACCTAATACATACAGTCTTCGTACTTATATTTTAATTATCATAGATTTAGCAACTAAATGTTTATTAGCATCATTAGTGAATAGTGATATTATTTGTACATTTTTGATGTTTTGGACATTGTGAGTTACAGACTAACAGCCGCAAATCTTTTGATATTTCGTTTTTAACTGCGCGATATGTGAAACGTTTAATAAATATAATTGTAGCCTGGATCGAGAAGTAAATCAGATTTCAGAAATTTTTCAAAGAGTTTCACAGATCAAATATTCTGAACTGTATTTGTGGTCTACTAAGGTATAGGATTAAAAAAGTAATGCAATATTTTGCGTCGGTGAAAGTGTTTATCCTTCGGTTTAGCGTTACTCGCGAAGCTATAAAAAGCTATTGGAGAATATACCTGTCTACCTCAAAACATAATTTTGCAACGATGAACGAACGACTCGCAGGAGAGAAATTGATCCGAGTCGCGCGTTATAGTGTTGCACGTAACGTTAAAGGGAAAAATTTGCTAAAATTTAAGATTTGTGTGACCACAAAGGTATTTAGATTTAATTCTTTTTCTCTTACTCTCTCCCCCCCCCCCCTCTCTCTCTTTCTCTCTCTCTCTGTCTCTCTCTGTCTCTCTACTCGTATATTTATCTTTCGAGAGAATTGTGCAAGTATTAATCTCATAATTGTTTTTTTTTGACGTATATAATGTAGCGTTTGTCAGGTGTCCTCACCAGATTTTAGAACGAAATAATTGCATTCTCTGGTGCAATCGCTGAAAATTATGTCTTGTGCAAACTCTTATTCTACATATTCGTGAATTTACTTAAGCGTCGAAATAAATTGCCGATTTGTGATTTTAACAAAAATACGTGAAACAAGAATATACGAAGAAACTTGTGCGTGATATCTGCATTATAATATCCTCAACGTGGATACTCGCGTCAGAATAGCGGAGTACGTAACACAATTTTCATTACAAATGCTGCTACTTAGCACTTGCAATGCGACGATATACATTTAAGATTTGGCTTTAGTAGATTAGCGTATTTGATATGCATGTGCTGCATAAAATAAATAATAAAATTTTGAAAGTACAATGATACGCGCATGATATTGCGTTATGATTTATTCGAGCTAGAATACTAATGTAGATTATTATATGTATATGTAAAAGAAGTTATTCGACAGATCGCGCTTGTTCAAAATCGTTACAAAGTATATGTATATGATCTACTAATAGTGTACGATAGATAAAATAGTTCTTGTTGAAAGGCAACTTGAATAATATCGCTAATACGGCACCTGTTTAAACGCACGTAGGAATCTTTAATATCCTATCAAGAGAGGCTAAACTATCAAACAAGACTAAAGTGCGACAAGATAGAGGAGATACGCGAAAGCCTCGTCAATTATCTGTGCATAAAACCGTATTTTTATTATTATCTGCATCGGTACAGTTTATGCACATTCTTATAATAAATATTTTTATTTTAGGACGATTATTTGACAATCAAATATATATTCAACAGTTCTTAAACATCTTTTATTTTAATATATAAGTAATAACGGATCAAGATGTTTAATTAAAATTTAAAATTGAATTATAATTAATATATTCGATACACAAATTATATATCAAACTTCTGCTAGTACAAATAAAAATCATGTTGATATTTAATATCATTTGATATATGGGATATTTAATTCGTACTCGTGTGTCGGTTAAGATATATGTATATATAATTATCGAGTACTCTGTATATCGCATTCTACAGATGTGTAAGCAAAAATGTACAAATATAGTATTTGTATAATGTCAAGCTGTTATCTGCCCATCACGTAGCGCAATAAGGGTGTATAAGAGAATGAGAGAGATATATATTATTTTTAAAATCTCAGAGATTATATTTTCGACTCATTGTTGATCAATGAATTTACATTTTTTGTCCACAGCATATATGTATAGTATTATATACACATATAGTTACTGTAATATATATATATATATATATTTATTTTTCTCTCTTTTTTTCTCTCTCCGAGACATTGAATTATCGCGACGTTATCACACTGCATTCTGCGCGACGCGATGCGTTAAAGAAATATCTGTATCTGTACTTGCCGCAACAATTTGAAACTTTGCGCGGATTGATCATTGCGATAAATGTTGTAAATTAAAAAAAAAAAGAAACACGACTATGTATTACCACGCACGAGAGATGTTGTATTCATGTCGTAAAATAAATTATATCTTCTAAATATGTCACTTTATTCCATCTCTCTAATATTTATATATGTTTTTTTTTTCTATAATATTTTTAAAATATATTATATCACTATAATCGTATTTATTCGTTATATTTTGTATACTAAGAATTGATGAATATAAATGCATTTTTATTATTATTAACTATATGCTTATTGCTTTTTACTTTGGCCATTATATTTCTTGAGAGAGCGTTAGGATACAGCTGATTTTTCAAACTACACAAGTATCTGTAAAACTCTGTCTTTCGTCGATATGATATAAGCGATTGCATAATTCTTAATATTTTTTGTATTATCGTGCAGTATTTTTTAAAGTTCACTTACAAAAACCACGTTTTATAATATATTTCAAAATATAAATTGAATAAAAAGAATGCGTCTTGCAATAATCTTTTAAATTTTTAAAACCCTTAAAAATTTCATGGAGAGAATTATTAAGAAAATATATTTCGAAGAAATCAGTAATGCAGTTTACGATCAAGTAATATGCGTCTTTTAATAAGCTTAAAAATTCATTTTTGGGATATTAGGAGAATATATTTCACAAAGAAGTATACTAGTAGTAATATAGATCACGGGTATTAATTTTGTGTTTTTAAATATCCACGAAAATTAGGGTCTGAGTTAGTAGGAAAATATATTTTGCAAAGACATGATAATGGCGTTCACGAGCGGCAATGTGTCTTAAAACGCTCGAAAATACTCTTCTGAATTATCATATGCGCTAGAATATCAAAGAAGCGCGATCTTGTTCCTACTTTCTGATTGGTCGGTTATAGCCGCCATGTCGGGCCCGCAACGTCCCACGTGTAGAACTGTCAATTAAATATAGTTAGGTTAGGTCACGCATCGACGTGCGAGCTTGCGGGCCTAAGATGACGGCTGCAAGATGGGGGTAAAGTTCACGCTTCTCTGATATTCTTGGCCTCTAATGATAAGTTCGCTGACTGTGCACACTGCACTCAATTTTGTCGGTATGTGAAATGAAAGATATGCATATTTAGATTAGAGCGAGAAAGAAGCAAGATACAAAGCATAGAAATCGCGGTTAGAACGAACAAAACACGCAGACGCATTTCTTTTTTCCTCCACAGATACGCAACCGGAGATATTTTTGTCATACGGTAAGCTGAAATTTAATTTTTCACATCATATTAAATCCTTCATCCTTAATACATAAGATAATTAATCCGGGCTAGTCACGATGTTTGTATCACGTTGATAAAACACGAAATGACGTAATTTTCTTTTCTTTTTTTACTTCTTCCGAATTCCGATCACTTGATGCATAGTTAAAAAGGCGTAGTTAAAATCAATGTTGCAACGAGTATTAGATATTACGCACGATGACGCATCGCCAATAAATTGATAAAATGTATCATTTCGGCACAAGAATTGTGCCTTTGATATAATTGCAAACGCAGTTGCAGTTCATTTGCAGTAAATGTAGGTAGATATTCAATATAACTAGCGCGTTTTTTTATGTGAAATTTGGTATATTGTTTTTAGTCTAACCATCATATTTTATATAAGTCGAATTTTTTAGAAAAATTGACTGATGTAGCTTATTGATTTTCTGATTGGTGCGATATAATTTTTATTTGTATAAAATTGTTGCAAGTATATATATAGGTATATAAACATCAGAAAATATAGATTTATTTATTAGACTAATGCGACTGATATAGATTTATTAGTACTTACAGTATTATTTGCTTTGCTAATTTATAATAAATAATACTGATGTAGAAAAATATTAATATTGAATCATTTGTTTAATATATTTTTATTAATTTTTATTCAGGTTGATTAGGAATCTTGATTGAACATACACAATCACATACGCAAAATATGGATTCAATGGAGCATAAAATACCCAAAGTTAAATGTCAAACATCCAATGTGGGGAACAATGAACCTTTATTTAAATTAGACGTGCCAGTTACCATACCTCTAAATATAAGTTCAACAAATAACTTTAATGTTAATGATGAAGATAGTTTATCTTTTGTAGTGCTAGGTAAAGATTCAGTAGATGCAACTCAGGCTTCTGTATTAGCGTCATATGTTGACATTCAGCAGAAAAGCATGTCAATTGTATGTATATTAGAATATTATTTGATTTGATTTGATTTGATTTAAGTTTATTTTTTATAGAAAGCAAGAATATAAATTTTTTTGTAGGATTATACATCGATAGTTTCGTCACTGAGCACAGATGAGATGCAAAAGAAATTGACTGATATGTTGCAAGAAAACGTGAAATTAAAAGAAACGTTGAAGCAAAACACTTCAGCCATGAAAGAACAATTTAATACATTGGCAATGTGGCAAGAGGAGGTGATGAAGGTTCATGAGACTCATAAAAAAAAGTTTGCAGAAACTAGAGAGCTCGTCACTCATCTTCAGAAAGAAAACGCTGAACTAAAAACTAAACTATCACAATTGCAACATACTGAAAGCATGGGATTTGAGGTACATAAATAAAAATGTATTTTATATATATAT